AAAAAAAAAAAAAAAGGATTCTCTTCATTAATTCTTGTCATTGTTTTCTACCAAACTTCTCTCCCTGCCTCTTTTTTTTTTAGCTGCCCAAAATTTCTCATTTCAAGGTAGTAGAGACTTGGCAAAGTTGGATTCAAAAAGAGTTTGCTCCAAAATTCCAAATATTTCTCCCTGTTTCATTAAGCAGTTCTTCCCACCACCCATGCAGCAAGAGAAACAGCCTCTTTGGGCCTGAAGATGGTCAGCCCCTGTCCTGGGCGGGATGGCTGCAGCAGCATGGAGAGTCCCTCTCTCGGCTGTGTCTAGCATCAGGCATCATCTCGCTCAAATGCCATGGGAGGCAACTTTGCAAGCAGATGCTTGGGTCATTTCTTTGAGCAGAATTCTATCTCAAGGTAATAGCAATTTATCGTTCTTAAAAAGATGATGCATATATATTTTTTCTTTTTCTGGGGAGGTTTTTGCTATAGGGTACGTGCGCTCACCCAAAAAACAGAGAGAGACAGAGAGACAAAAAGCGAGAAATCACCCCCCAGGGGTGATGGCCACGCCACAATCCCTTCTCCTCCATTCTCTTCTTGAGATCTTGGGTACACACGCACACGTGCCAGGCATGAGTTTAGCCACCGGGTCCGGGACTTGAACTGTGGTTGACTACATGGGAATCCAGCGACGTAGCCATTACGCCAACTGCCAGTCCCAGTGATGTGTATTTTTATCCCAGCCTTCAAAAGGAGAACAAATTCTGAAGTTGGCTTGAGAGCACAGGTATTGGGCAAGAAACTGATGTTAAGAGGGAAGAAGGTGCTCAGAGGGAAGTCAGAGATCCTGATAGCCCACAAGACACACCTTTCCCCTAATTTACCTCCACAGAGGACAGAGCTGACAAAAGACACAATGAGGGACTAGCAGATGGTGGAATGGTTACATCGCTGGACTCGCACGTAATCGACCACAGTTCGTGTCCCAGACTTGGAGGCTTAAAACTACCCTGGCTACGAGTGTGTGCATGCCCAAAAAATTCTAAGAGGACAAAGGAGGAGAAGGGACTGCAGCATGGCCATCATTCTTGGGGATGATTTCTCACTTTGTTGTGTCTCTGATAGCAAAAGTTTCTCTGAGAAAGCAAAAACAAAAAAAATGACACAATGTTCCTAGAGAAAGGAAGTTGTGTCCTGGGCCACACCAAGATGGCTGGGAGTGATTCACAGGCCAGGAATGGCAACCCGAAGGTGAAACTCCAGATCACCATGACTTCCTTATTGTAGAATCTTTTTGTAAAGACCAGCAAGACAGCCTATGCCTGTAATCTCAGTGACTTGGGATGCCGGGGCAGGAGGACTACGAGTGCAAGGCTGGCCTGGGCTCATGAGAACGAGACCCTGTCTGGAAGAGCCAGGTGTGGCGGCTGTGCCTGATCTCAGCTGGGAGGCTGGGACAGGAAGACGGGACAGGAAGACGGGCCAGATGGAGAGACCCTGTCTTAAAAAAATAAATAAATAGGGGCCAGCAGGTAGTGTAGTGGTTGGGTGCTGGACTCCCACACAGTTGATCATGGTTTGAGTCCCAGACCTAGGGGCTTGAGACTCATGCCAGGTGCATGCATGTGCATGTGCCAAAAATCCCAAGAGGAGGATTGAGGAGAAGGGATTGAGGCATGGTAATCCCTCTGGAGGGTGATTTCTTACTGTCTGTCTCTCTGGCGAGCTCATGCCCCCTACAGCAAAAAATATCTAAAAAAAAAAAAATTCAAATAAACAGAATGACATTAACAGTAAGTGTTGACCTTTCTCTATCTTAGTTATTTTACTTTTTTGGTCTTTGGTATGTTTTAGGTTTTACCTCTCTTTTTTTCTATTCATGTAAATTCACTGTTTCATATCGTAAATGAAAGCTCAGTAGCACTCTTCATGGGACTGATTTTCATCTATGAAAAGTCAAGTGCTCCCTTTTCTGGTGCAAAAAACAAACAAAAGAAAAAACAACTCATATTTTAAAGAAAGGAGTTGCGGGTAAGAGTCTGAAGATCCATCTTCTCGCAGGACTGAGAGCCTCTATCTCACCTCTTTCCAGTGACCAGTGACCTTTGCACACACAGTCCCTTCTCCCTTGAAGACATTTCTTCTTCTCCCTCCTGAGTAATTCTTACCAATCTTTCACTCTCAGCTTAAATGCTTTTTCCCAGAAGCTCTCCCACCTTCTACTGGTACCAATCTGTCTGCTTGGGTCTTGATAGCCTCTGACGTCACTACCGAACGGCAACCTTACTGTCCATGCTCATCTCCTGCTATTCCAGAAACCTGGGGCATGAGAGGCTCATCTGGAGTGTGTCTAACACTGCAGATACCTCCTGAATTGGAGGTCAAGTGGTGTACTTCGTAGGTGTATTGGAGTAGTTATATTTACCTGCATCTTCCAAATAAATCATTTCAGAGGTAAACAAAATGGTTCTCAAGTGAATCATAGGGGATCGTTCACCCCTCAATGTTGTCTAACTCACCAACTCACATTTTCAAAGTATGGCATGTCTTTCTAGGATGTAGTTGTCCTACATACTTCTGTCCATATTCACACAAAACACATTCCACATTCCCAGAAGAGTTTAGATACTGCCTGTGTGTGTGCAGGTATGCATGCGTGTGTGCACAGACATCCACAGGACACACAGCCACCCTCACTGAGTACCCTTTGACTTGTCTCAGAGACTGTCCCATGGACAATAAGCACCAGAAGGTGAGTTCCTAGCTCCTGAGCGCTCAGCAGTCTCCTGGCTGTCACTCCAGCACCGAATAAGGGAAATAAGGTCACAGCAACAGTGCCAGTTTCTACACCATTAAAATGGAAATGCTACTCTAAATAAGGCCCTTGTCCATAAAGGAGAATGACGAGTATGGAAAACATGTGTGAGCCGCTGCCCATTCAGCACACCCACCCGGAACGTCCCAGTGACGTTCCAGCCAGACCTAACCAGCCAGCCCCACACCTGCCAGATGAGTTAAGAGTTTTCTCTGAGGGAGCACACCCACACCGAGAGAAGCTATTTTCCATGTTTCTTAATCTAAAAGCAAAAAAAGGGGAGGGGGGGCAATTTTACAAAGTCAGACTTTGGATGTTGCAACTTAAATGGTCTTTTCCTGAAGCCCCCAGAGACAGGCTAATCACAGGAATGACGGAAGAATTCTTAAAAATAGCACCACCATTGTACTTTCAAAATAGCAAATGATATTCTTTATTGTCCCAAAACAGCTCTTGAAAGGAAAAAATAGCTTTTTTCAACTGGCTGAAGTTACGAAACTCTATATGAATTAAATATAAATTAAATAAACAAAGCAAAACCTTTAAAGGCAGTGGCACAAGAGGTAGCCCCTAGGTTAGAGTACAGAGTCAGGGGCGTCTTTCACAATTCTGCTGAGGACCAGTCAGCCTCAGCGAGGAGGGTTTGGCTGGGCATGTTTTCCTTAATGCACTTTGCTTTGCTGGTATAGAAGTAGTCCCTGTAATGATTTGTATATGAGAAGCAGAAAGGCAGTTAACTTCTCCACCCTATCCCCCAGCCTGGAGGTTTAAAGTACTGATGTATTACATGACTGGCTGTGAAGTAGCTGAAGTTGTAGAAGAGTAACAGAGTCTCTGAATGATGAGAACTACAGAGTGAAATGGATGGGTTTCTTTATTTTCCTGGCAGATCCCCACAGAACATTGTCCATGGAGGCAAGAATACTCAAATTGTCTTTCCTCAATTCAATCACAGTGCCCTATTCAGCTAGTACCAAATCTACTTAGGAGGGAAGAAGATTCAAACTCCCCAAGAAATGCATTCGAATATCAGCTTCGTGAGTAGGAGAGGGCTGTATACCCAGAGAGCCAGTGCGGTGGCCTTTTACACATCAGATAAACTCCCTACTGCTCAGCCCCGTCCTGGACACTGACCAGCGTGTCTGAGTGTCTCTGTACGGGAAGTCATGGAACCCAAACTACTACTTCTCTGTATCTTCTGTGCGATTGCTCTCAACATCCACTTTCATGGTCTGAGGCTACCAGAAAAAGGAGGCTTAAGATTCCTTCCAGTCTGGGACATGGCAGTCAAAAGACAAGGCAGCACTCGAACAAGGCCATGTTCTCATTGTCAAAGACAGTCCTCCCTCCACTCAACACCAGCCCCTGTTCTCTATCACACAGCGCCCAACATGGTGTTCTGGTCAAGGGCGATTTTGATGAGTGTTCTAGTTCATTCTGTTGCTAATAACAAAATACCCACATCTGGGTAATTTATAAAAATAAAGGCTTAGTCAGCTCACGGCTAAAAGATCCAGGGGCGAGGAGCCACAGCTGGTGGGAGTCTGGCAGAGTCCTGAGACTTCACATCATGAGGATGAGAGCAGTGTCCATCATCTGTCTGTATCCATCCCTGTCCTTATAGACCCTCTAGGACTCAATCTTGGGGGGCTCACCCTGAGGCCTAATCACCTCCCGAAGGTCCCACCTTTCAACACCATAATCAGATTAACTTTCACTGTACTAGTCTTCTTACAACTACTTCTGAAATCTCATCACATAAATTTGAGGGTACATCTAAACCACACCATGGGGGACCTTGAGTTTAAATGGGACACATTAACAAGAACACCACTAACCAAACGCTACTGCGCACGAGAGTTTGGTTTTTCTTTGTTGTTGTTTTTTGTTTTGTTTTGTTTTGTTTTGTTTTTGCATTTAGAAGGCTCTGCATTTGTCTAAAATAGAAAGACGCAGCGTGTATAACTTGAAGAGCAGGCTTGGCATATTTGCTTAAAACACACACCGCCAGGCCCCCATTTCAGAGTTTCTGATTCAGCAGGTCTGGGCTGGAGTCGCTGCATGTCTAATAGGCAGGCTCCCAGGTAATGCTGCTGGTCTGAGGACCTCATGCAGGTTAGCACTGATATGGAGGATGTTTGGGAAGACTGCTTTTTCTTCTCTAATGCATTTGTATTTTGAAGTTTCTGGAGCATCTCCATATAGCCCCTGACTTTTACTAATACTGTTAGCTCTAGGAAAAATCTATTTAAAAATTGGTTTTCTAAAAAAAAGGAAACTCAAAGCAATGGCAAATTGCAAAATGTGAATTGGTAAACATACTAATGAATAAAATTATATTCAAAAGGCTGGTGTATATGAGATTTTTCTCCCCTAAAACCCAGGAAAATAACTGCACTTTATTAATACAGAATAATCACATATTTACCTGCTCATGAGACTATCAACTCACTTTTTAATATAAAGAACATAATTATCACTGAAAAACAAAAATGTAGCAACAACATTATTTTTTTAAGCATAGGTAATTTCCCTCTGGAAACTTGATATATATAAATATAACAGAAATTTTAAATTACCCCCTTATACATTTTAAATGGAACCCAATGTATTTCCCATGATTTTTGGAAACTGGAGGTGGTCTCTGAAGGAGTTCCCACTGAAGCGTACTTTTACAATGTGCTGATTAAAACAGTGCAGTTGTTTCCCCTTATGCATAACAGGCATTTTAAAATAAGCTAAACAATTCTAAAGTGAATTAAGTTGCTTACCTTTGAGCCTCGCTCATTAAAAATAATTTCAACATCTAAGATTTTACCAAATTGCTGCAAAGAAATAGAAATATTTTATAAGCAAGAAGAGCAATGAAATAAATCATATTATGCACACTGGTAACTGTTCCCCAAGTTAGAATTCTTTTTGCTTTTAGAATCAAAGATATGCATTAGATGTTGTTCTGCCACTAAGTGATGTGCTTGAAACAAGAAACTACCACCACATGTACGATCTTGTGATGGTGGCAGACCCATCAGGTAAGACAGACTGCCAGGGCATGATACAGGACATGAATCAAGAGGTTTATTCCACTCTCTTTTCTTTATGTGTGTGTGATTACTTTCTCAGGCACTGTGCAGCTAAGATTCAAAATATCTAGGAGGCCAACAGGTGACATGGTGGTTAAAGTGCTGGATTCCCACATGGCTGACTACAGTTTGAGTCCCGGAACAGGCAGCTTAGAAATCACACCAAACACATGTACACGTATGCCCAAAACCCCAAGAGAAGAATGGAGGAAAAGGGATTACAGCATGGCTATCCCTATGATGGTTGATTCCCCTTTCCCTCTCTCTAGTGAGGGCATGTGACCAATAACAACATCCCCTCCCTCAAAAAAAGTCTTTGGCTGGCCCTATCGTAGCGGTTAAATCCTATGCATAAGAAGTCAGATCCAACGTGGCTGATTATAGTTTGAATCCTGGCCCCAAATGGCTTGAAAAATACACTAAGAACATGTGTGTACATTCCCCAAATCTTGACAATTAAATATAAATTATATATATATACACATATATGTGTGTGTGTGTGTGTGTGTGTGTGTGTGTGTGTGTGTGTGTACAAGGCTATTCCATTAACTACTAGGAGAAACACTCTGATCAAGTAGTTTTTTGGAAATAAAGTGTCCAACTAGAAGGTCATGTTGGGGGTTTTAATGCCTAGCTCACATAAAAGCTAAGAGCAGCCAGACCATACATAGGAGGAGACAAGTAAAGTACGAACATAAAGAAGCTCCACCATCCAGGCACTCATAATAAAGATATCAGCAGAGCTGCAATCAGTCCTCAGGCTTAAATACTTCTTTTAAGATGGTTCTCCATATTGTTAACAATTACATAATTAATATGAATAAGTACTATAGAAAGTCTAGAAACAATGTTTCAGATGACAAATACATTGGACAGCCAAATAAAATACGTACATTCAGTTGAACTGGAATTTCTGATGTTAGGGTATGTATATCACATATAATATCTGGGACACACTCAAACTAATAAAACATTGGTTGTTTATCTGAAATCCAAATGGGTCTACTGTGTCTTATATATTTTATAATCTGTTGAACATGTGTGTACATTCCCCAAATCTTGACAATTAAATATAAATTATATATATATACACATATATGTGTGTGTGTGTGTGTGTGTGTGTGTGTACAAGGCTATTCCATTAACTACTAGGAGAAACACTCTGATCAAGTAGTTTTTTGGAAATAAAGTGTCCAACTAGAAGGTCATGTTGGGGGTTTTAATGCCTAGCTCACATAAAAGCTAAGAGCAGCCAGACCATACATAGGAGGAGACAAGTAAAGTACGAACATAAAGAAGCTCCACCATCCAGGCACTCATAATAAAGATATCAGCAGAGCTGCAATCAGTCCTCAGGCTTAAATACTTCTTTTAAGATGGTTCTCCATATTGTTAACAATTACATAATTAATATGAATAAGTACTATAGAAAGTCTAGAAACAATGTTTCAGATGACAAATACATTGGACAGCCAAATAAAATACGTACATTCAGTTGAACTGGAATTTCTGATGTTAGGGTATGTATATCACATATAATATCTGGGACACACTCAAACTAATAAAACATTGGTTGTTTATCTGAAATCCAAATGGGTCTACTGTGTCTTATATATTTTATAATCTGTTGAATATGGCAGTTCTAACGGGAAATGCATGTCAGTGTAGACTGAGAGCAAGCACCCATTTTAGTGACTGAAAAATACGTAAAATAACAAAGAATTATTTCCATTCTCTTCTCTCTTTATTTTAAGATATCCTATCATCTCACTTGCTCTTACAGTCTGTTCTAGACTGCAACCTCATGGTTCCAGGAGATTGTATGTTCTGTCTCTCTTCCCTGGATTGAAAGCATCAAGCATGCTGCTACATAGCAGAAGACCCAGCGACTGGGGTGATGGGTGAGACAGGATAGAAAGAAAACAGACGACAAGAACACAGAGAAGCAGGGTGACTCAAATGACCACTGGGCTAGTCGAATACTGGGAGAAAGAGAGAGAGTGTTAAGAGGGTCTTACAAACATTTGAGAAGAAAATTATTTGGGACAGAGGCTGGCTTCTGAAACACACAGAGAAATCTACCTTCCTTGGAAAGACAGAAAAAATATGCATCTGCCAGTGAAATATAAATAGCTCAAAACCTTAAAGTGGAAATAGTTCTGACTATGGGATAAAGTAAGCCAACGATTGTAATTCGGTGACACAGAAATGTGCCCACTCCTTAGGGTCTGTCTCCGCCTGCCAGGGGAGCATGTATATGCAGTTTTCTTGTTGAGCAAAAGTCCTTTTTCATTTCCCAGAGAAGTAGAAAGACAGCAAGAAAGTAAGTAGAAAAGGAGATGGGAGGGCCACAATACTCTCAAGACAAGGAGACTACCAAGAAATGTGCAGCTCATCTGTGGGCTTACAATTATCCCTCTGATCAAGGGAATATTCTTTTACAGAGCATTTTTAGTGGCCTAGTTTTGCACAGAGAAAAATCATTAAAAGTAGAAGAAGACATTTAACAGACACATGAATGAAAAGTTATCTGTTGATGATAATGTATATGGTAATATCTTTGACTTGATTGAAATGCACAGCATCCATGCTGGAAAAAAACGATTCTGTACACTGTAAAGATGCACTGTGATTGCATGTAAATTTTAAAAAGTGTAAAAATAATAAAAGAAAGAAAAAAATAGGGGAAGAAAACTTGCTGATTTGGGAAGCAGACTTGCCATTCACAGGTGAACTGAATTTCATAGTAAAGAATCCTTGTGACCAGCTTTGAGGCACAAGGGTATGCCTTATGCCAGAGAAATTGGCTCAAGAGATGCCAGTTTCCACACAACATGATGATCATGGTCTGGATCTCTGGCCTGGTCAGCCCAAAACAAAGTGAGCATAAGTGTGAGTGCCCACGATCCCCAGGCTGGAGGACTGGAGGGAGAGGATTGTGGCATGACCAGACCTGTGCAAGGTGCTTCCTCTTTCTTTCGCTCTCTCATGTGTGCATGAAAAGATCCATAATGAAAAAAGAAAACAAGACAAGAAGAAAAGAAGAGAAGGAAGGAAGGAGGGAGAAAGGTAGAAAGAATACTCTCGCTTTGTGAACCGTTTACAAAAGGTAATTTTGATATAACCACCTTAGAATATCCAGTCTGCACAGCAGCTACCATATTCATTTCAGGCGTAAGAACCTAGAAGCACATATATTTATGGAAAGAGAAACCTGAAAAGGACTTCCTCCAAAACCATAAAGCAAATGTTGTCTATAGAACATTCTTTAAGCAGTCAACATGAAAACACTTCCTTTAAAATAGGATCTGGTTGAGATGGAACCAATCAAAAAGCAATCTTAGCATGTGTCATTCCCTAAATGAAACGGTGACACCATGTGCCCTGGAATGGTCTCAAATGCTTGCTTCTTTGGCAGTTGCCATTGGGTTGATGGTTCTCAAACCAGTGAAACGAGCTCTAAGAAGAATGCTGATGTAAGCCCCATTTCGAAGACAGTTGTGTACTATATTTATAGTATCAACAGCTTAATTGGGAACTTTGGTACTAATGATGTAAACACAGCTGGCACATTTTCAATTTAAATAGACACGACTCACTCGCAGACATAACTGGCATTTGTTTGCTCAACAGCGATGTTCAGCGATGTCTCAGATCCACACAAGGTGTCTCAATAGCCGTATCAAGAACAAAATCCAGAAGCTTATTGCCACGCACTTGGGCAAATATGTACCAAGCATTTTTAGACATTCTCAGATCAAATAATATTTCTCTGAAAAACTGTGAAGGATGTTCAAGGGATAGAGCATAAAATATGAAAGTGAAGGTTAGTTCCAAGGATGTGCAGAGGCTGAGAAAAGGTGTGATCTCTGTTTTTCTTAGGGGATGACTCCCTCATGTTTGGATAAAGACATAGAAGGTGCCATGCCATGACCCCTCAGAATAGTTTAACAACGCAAATGTCACAGTGGGCAGAGCTTTGCATTAACACTGAAGGCCCCGACAAGACCAACTCTACTTTATTATCAAAAAGTAATCATGCAACGTCTTTTGTATATGATCAAAGTAATATACCCTGTTGTTTTTTGTTTGTTTGTTTGTTTTTTGTAATAATAAAGAGACTTGAGCAGGTCATTTCCCAGGGGTTCTTTATAGAGACAGAAAATGAGAAATCACTCTTCAGGGGGAATGGCAATGCGGCAATCCCTTCTCCTCCATTCTCCTCTTGGGATTTTGGACACACATGCACACATGCCCAGAGTGAGTTTTTAAGCTGTCAGGACCAGGACTCGAACCACAGTCGACTATGTGGGAGTCCAAGAACGTAACCATTACACCATCTGCTGGTCCCAAGGGTCTTTATTTTGATAACAAATGCAAGACCATTGCAAACGGCATGTGCGAGTTTGACACCCGGAATTACCAAGCAATCATTTCTGAAAATGATTCTATGGTAGCATGCATTGTGCCTGTGGTTTGAATGCATTCAAAACCACTTGTCTCATCCAAAACCCAGAAATATTTAATTTTTAAATACTAGGTTAAATTAAACATCCCATTCAGCAGAAATACATTGCAATGGATTTTCTGGAAACCCATCTATTTCTTTCATGGAACCAAGAATTCAAATGTAAAGAAATGCATGCTCACAGATGCTTCTTAACTGAAGTAAGAACTTGAGTAGAAAGTAGCCAAGGGCAGAGACAACAGTGCTTCTGTTGAAACAGCTGGAATCAATAAAAATATTATAGATGCACTCATCTAACTTGTGTTTTAGAAAGACTCTGGTGGGACTAGCAAATGGCATAATGGCTAGGTCGCTGGACTCCCATGTAGTTGACCATAGTTCAAGTCCCGGACCCAGGGGTTTAAACACCAGACACGTGTGTGTGTGTGTGTGTGTGTGTGTGTGTGTGTGTGTGTGTGCCCAAGATCCGCAGAGGAGATTGTGGTGTGGCCATTCCCCTGGGGGGTGATTTCTGACTTTCTGCTTCTCTGTCTTGCTCTTTCTGGTGAGCTCACACGCCCTATATTAAAAATGTCTCCCCCCCCCAAAAAAAAAGAAAGGAAGAAAAAGAAAGACTCTGGTTTCTGCTTTGTGCGTTGCAGCCATATAACTTCTCGCACAAGGAATGTCGTCTTGAAAGAAAAAGGCAAATGCAAGTGGGGCTGGACGATGTAATAACAAACATCAGGACAAACAACTCCAGATGAGGCGGAAGTAGAGACGATGAAGTGTGTGGTGGAGGAAAGGTAACCAGGAGTCCAGTCCCCATGAAGAAGTGCTGAAGCCACAAATTAAACATGAACTGAGACACCGGTGGTAACTCTCAGGCACGCGGTAGTTGCAGATGTCACAGGCAGGTTACTAATGGTTCCAGAAGTTGTTGTGAACACTACCAAGTTTCAGGCAGTTTAAAAAAAGAGATTGGTTTTGTCACTTGTTTTTGACTTTGAAATCTCCATGCTCATATTTAACAAAAGAGACAGAGGAGAAAAAGTACAAAGATCTTTAGGTTTTTCTCTGTAAGCACCTTCATTTAATTCCTCCAAAGTGAGAGGACAAAACAGAGCCCAGTCCTCAAAAGAGAGGTATTTATTTCTCATGCCCAAATGATTTGAGGAATACTTCATTGGGATTAAAATGCAGTTGCTTCCTCTAACTACGCCCTGAGAGAGGAGACCACGTGACAGTCTCTAAACTCCAGTTTGGAGAGCCAAACAGAACATTTACGAATTTCTTTCAATGAAAACTTGCTACTCAATGTGTGAGAATGGCTTTGTGACCACTGACAATTGACTAGAAAGAACAAATTTTTAGTGTTACCGTTTCATGTCTGTAGAATGCTGGTTATAAACAAAAAAAGACCTGAGAGTTCTCACAAGGAGTCTATGAATTTGCATGTGCTTGATCATTTTGGCAGGTGAAACCCACAAAAAATATTGCATACGTTTAAAAAGGAACACAGATGTTGTTTGTGAAGGAAAACAATTGGTTTTAGTGTTACTACATGTGAGCTGCATTTTCTTAATTGACAAACATTTAAGTATATCCATCAAATCACCATTTAAGTCTTATCAAATCAACATTTGTCAATGGCTTAAAAAAATCTTGATTTTTTTAGAAAGAAGTGGCGCTGAAACCAGTAGATTTTGATCGAAGTGTGAAAATGGGCAGTGCCATCTTTTGGTCAAATCTTGCTCTGTGCCCTCTGCCCTGGCCCTATAAGAACAGAGCGGCTCAGACGAAATACAGGCAGGACCCCTTCTCTGTGATTTCTAGCTGTGAATATTCTGAATATCTCTCTAACTTAACCGTTGCGGCTTCTGGTAACTTTTGAGATCATCGAGAAGACCAGGGAGGGAAGAGTACCCTTCGGGGTGACAATTGGGTTGTGCTGCAGTGAGTGACACCACGAAAGAGAGCCAGGATGGTCATTAAGGGGACCAGATTCAAAGCCAACCTCCCAGTGACACGTGATGAGCAAAGACAGACCGAATGGCAGATATCTTCCTAACCTGACATGGCAAAGAGGATACAATTCCTCTGGCTGCCCATCACTCAAACCTGGTCTCAATGCTTTTCACACACTTAACCTCAACTCTAACTTTGAATGCTCTGCACTTTTCAAAGTCATCTTTGACCTGAAAGTGCCCGAGGGTATCTCTGTTCTGCAAGAGTTAGAGGGCTCAATTCAAGGTTATTACCAAATGAGGGAGATAAAAGTGCAAAAGCTGACCTTTTCCTCTGAAATGTCAGGATTCAAGTCTGGGTATCTTAAATATGAGGATGCTTGTTCTGCTTTTGTGTCAGACGCATACTTGATAAGCGTCATGTGTGCTAAAGAAAGAAAAAGTAAGAGCTAGCCCCCAAATCACAGAGCCCTTGAGTCGTGAACTGGAGCTCCCCTTTCACATGGAAAACAATATCAACTTTGCACAGAACAAGGCATTCAACTTGGGCATCATCTTATTCTTGTTGTAATATTTGCATCCATCCACAAACTCTTAGAAGAAGAGTCTCTGAGTGGCCCACCTTTGCCCTGAATCAAATGTTAAGGATGTAGTTGTTTTTACTGACTCTAGATATGTTCTATCATGACTAGGAAGTCACAGACAAAGACTGACGATATTTGCAAAAATGAATGATACTAAGTCCTGTCACAGCTTTGTCCTTCGGTGGAACTGAGCCCAAAGAAATGGCAAACTCATCCCTTCTCAGGGTGAATAGTGCAGATATCTTCCAGAAAGAGAATCAGGGTCATGATGACCTATGAGGGAACGTTGCTATCATTTATTTTGTCTGGGTTGGTGGGGACTTCTGGCCTGCTCTCTATCTTGCCATGCTGTCTGGGCAAGGCTGTTTTTGGTACCATATGATAACACAGTAAGTACTTCTGAGGGTGATACCACAGGAGTCGAGTCAGACTTAAACTTCGGTAGGGTTGTTGTTTATTTCATCTTTATGCAGAATTAGTCTCTGCGGTTACATCTGAAATCTAAAAGCACAGTGCCTGGGAAAGAGTCGCGAGCACCA